TATATATGTGTGTGTGTGTGTATATATATATATATATATATATATATATTTATTTATATATATATGTATATATATTCGTATCTTGGTACATACGAAAGTATATATCTGGTACGATAGTATATGTCTTGCATCAGATCGAACAAGCCAGCAAAGATCTAAACGCACTTGATAGGGCTTATCGCCACATCTTAACCATATGATCGAGCGAAATTGGTTTCGCAATGAAAGCGTATGGACTACAAAAGCGTGTGAAACCAAACGGTCAGTATTGCGCACTCTGTTTATTCGATAGCTGTGCCTCCCATAGATCTACCAGCTGTTCAAATAGAGTCCACGACAGCGCGGCTGTGAGCGACCTCCGGATCATTCGCGGCCAAACACCTGGCAAGTAAAATACAATGCATAAATACATTCTTGATTTAAAAAAGTAACTTTGTAAGTAAAATACAATGCGTAAAACATTCTTGATCAAAAACAGTACATTGTGTAACAACCAAATACCAGATTTACAGAGATTGCGGGTGAGGTTAGCGAGCAATATCTATGCAATTTCGGACGTCAACTCGGAACACTTGGTTTTGTTTGAACATACCTGACTTACCGCAGCTGTCAGATTGTGCGACAGAGAGAAAACCCGGATATTCAATCGCTTCTAGGCATAGCCTTCATGTCTATTTAGAAGGCTATGTTCGAGGATACCTCATACCGCACACGCAATTGGGTTCACGTTCTAAACACAACTGCCACCACACTTTGAAGTTTTTTAATCAGCATCCCACCAATATATTGACGTCCACTAAACGAAACAAACGAAACAAACGAAACACAAGTTGCATCGAATCTCTTCCTCGAAATTCCTCGCAGCGTTTCTAAACCCTAAACCCTAAAACACTGACAGAGAGACACTCACCTATCAGCAGACCTCTAGCGCCCTCCTCCTTCAACAACTGCGTTACCACGCTATATGTAGTGATGTGAGGCTTATCGCTGGCCTGTAGACGTGCACGTATGATATCCGGTGGATGCGACACCACCGTGGCACATATTCCCGCGATAAACCCAGATAACAGTCGAATAAGGAAGTCCGACTGTAGGTACGCGTGCTTAGGGACCGAGCCAGCAGTCTCGCTTGTTAGCACGGTTGGAGGCATTCTTGACTGAATTGGTTCCGGTGTTTGCGTTGGTGTGTCTGTTTGTGTCTGGTTCTGTGTTTTTGTTTGTGTTTGTGTTTGTGTTTGTGTTTGTACTTTCGTTTGTGTTTGTGTTTGTACTTTCGTTTGTGTCTGGTTATCCTGCTGGCCACAATACCCAGCTTGTAATTTGTCTGTTATATTTCGCCCCACCCCTTCTGCCGCACAAACAGCGTCATCTATCCTGCATGGCACAGGTGCTTCACTATATACATCACCGCCCTGGGCTCTCCTTGTATCCGCAAGCTTGCATCCATTACTATTCATTTGTCGTCCTGTCTCGTTCACTCCATCAAAATCAAGCTGTTTGGTCTCTAATATCCCTTTGGTCTGCTGATAGAAAACATAGTACAAGCCGCTGAACGGCGCATCCCGCAGTATTGTTGCGAGAGAGCCCTTCCATAGCGCACGCACGCCCTCATACTGTGCAATCTGTGTCAAGGACTTGAAGAGATTGGTAGGGTTGTATGTAGTCCCGAAACGACCACTCTCAATGCGTGTCTTAACCACTAAGACAGGCATGAACATCATTGCAACCACAGCGCGACATCCACTGCCTATCAGGAGGCTCTGCATGGGCTGCATATTTGTCCTGAGTGAGTGCAAGATCTACATTAGTGCTCTGATCTCAGCGATAGACGTTCCAATATATATATATATATATATATATATACGTATATTTATACATATTCTGCTTTATAAGAATACTGCATCCGCACATCTTCACCGGAGTAAACCAGAGCAACATTATCAGCATAGTTTTTGATTTCACACAGAACGTTAAAATTACCCGTAAGGACAATTACATTCAATGATTCGTCGTGCACACTAGACAGAGAGATTTACAAGCGTTCTTTCTCCATTCATGTACAAGATATACGTGTGAATGTATGTACATCTGTTCAATTGTATATGTATATGTGTATATATATGTATAA